GATGAGAAACCATGAGAAACCCGTATAGTCGAACCGATGCCAAGAAGGTGAAAACGCTGGCGAAACCATGTGAAACCCACGGACATGCAGGAGCACGATTGAGAGACTCTGTTCGTTTCAGCTGCATCCCTTCTCAGTCCATAGTCTGGAAGAACTCGGTCCAGGCCATTGACGCCTTCCCTCGGTGGAGAAATCCATTGAGGTCGTTGAGGTCGCTTCTGACCAGTTTCTGTGTGACTTCCGAGGGGAAGGAGATCTATGGATCTCAGGATTGTTGATCTATGGAGATCCTGAGATCCATATAATAGATCATTTCTTTCTCCGAAGGCTCACAAAATTGACGATCTATGGATCTCAGGATTCCAATCAAACTCATCACATCTCACATACTAGTAGTGCTCCTTTGTCAGTGTTCTCAAGCCACTGAACCACCAGTGCAGCTTTGGACCAAGTGGATGACACTTGCAAACCTACAGTATAGAGTATAGACCCTTCCCCTGAGCACGAGGCTCATCCTTCTCCTGCTCGAAGCCCTGCTTTGACACAGAATTGAAAAGAACGTGACAATAAATACAACATCAAACGCAATTGATTGCTTGCACCCCTGTCGACTGCGTTGCTGTCGCACCTCTCCCAACCAAGTGATGATGTAGCACGCGGCCTTCGAAGATAGATCTTGGCCAAAACAAGGCATGCGCGGCTTCTCGCGCCTGTACAACAGAGACCAGCACCTCGAGCCTTAGCAGCATCAGCACGCTGTGCTGCATTCTGTCGAATGGATGTTTTAAATGCTTTCTTGAACTCTTTCTCTGAGGCTCCTGCATCTTCAAACACTTCAGCATACCCAACAAAGCTGAATAGCAATCAAAGCCCAGACTTTCTCTACATCTACCCACTGCCATTGTCCAGCTTGTGTCGACCTATAGGACCTATGATGCTGAAATTCTCGACTCAGCTTGTGGCCCACCAAAGGACTTCTGCCCAGTCTCCAGCGCCTTGCACACGCCACACCCATCGAGTCGAGTGCCCTTTGGCGAGATCGGTTGATCTTTGTAAAAGCATTTTGGAAGGACAGCTTTTCTCATCAACAGTCTACATCAACTTGTCAAGGAGACTCTCCAATCAAATGCCTTCATGAAGGGCTAAAGCATTCCTTTGAAGAGCCCTGCAATGTTGCCCAGGTGGTCGTTTTTTGCTGCAAGGATTGATCTGCAGGGGTTCAACCCCTCTGGCAGATCTTGATCCAACGCATCACGCGACTCGCCGCGCCTGGTTTACGAAGTTGGAACGCCGCAACTGCCGCTACTGGTTTCCAAATGTGTTCAATGACCCGTCCCTTAACATGGAAAGAGCCCGCTCTCCTCACCTGAAACACATCCCTGCCAATCATCACCAAGAACCTACAGCTGCGCGTTTTCGCGGAGGATGCGGATGGGTGTGGAGGTTCCGTACTTAACTGCAAAAACAAAAACGCATATTTAATATACTGTAGCAGTCTTTCTGATTAAGGATCCATCTCCACGGTCTTCACCGCATACTTGGGGTTCAGAAACTTGGCCCTCGCCAAGAAGGAAGCTATGTACCTCGACTGCAAATCGACTGCGATGTGTCCTCTTATTGGAAGGATTAGGAAAGAGATGGAAAGAGACTGAATGAATGAAGGATGTTTTTTCACAGCCAAGAAAAACTGCGCTACAATCTGTGTAACATGCTGTGTAGTGACTACCGTTGATATCTGACAGCACATCGACAGCCCAAGTCTGCGGCGCAAATGCCAGGAGTCGTTTTTCCACTCCCTGCCACAGGTCTTCCGCTCAAGAAAACACATGTTCACCGGTCAAGAGGCAGACCGCAACCGTTGGGTCTTTCATCCCTGAAGGAAGTGACTTCACCTTGATGTAGACTCTTGATTGATAAAGCACCTACACTTGGATTGTAAGACCTCTTCATATGGGGCGTTTTGTTCAGTAAGAGTATCAAGAGTCTGCATTAAACATCCTCGAATGCTCAAGAAGTGTCAAACCCTTTGCAGCCTGAGCTTTCTCAGCACCAACACAAAGCAAGGTCTGCAGGAAAGCCTGCAGCTAGACTCGCCAGACGGCCCAAGAACATAGCTTGCGTTGAACCCTTGACACATTTGAACCTTTGACGGAAGTCTCCGTTGGCTTAGCCGCTCAGCAAACTTGCACAAGCAATTGTCAGGCTCAGCTGTGCCTCTGTCCAGCGGGGTTTCAAGCTGGCAATGTAAAACCAAAGGAACTGGACGCATTTCACCTGGATCACATCGCCACGAGTCGGCCACGTTTTTTCTCCTCTCTCCCTCTCCTCTCGTCCTCCCTCCCTCGCGCCATCGTGGCTGCGTGTGGCGTGTGTGGCGTGCGTGGCTTGCGAGCGCCTTGTGAGTGTTCAGGACCACATCGACGAAAATATTGAGCATGGAGGTCCTTGGGATGGATTGGACGCGTCTGACCAATTCGGCGTCCCCAGTTGGGGACCGAAGCAAAGCGCGCTGGGAAGAGGTGGTCTCGACCCATTTTTTATGCCTCGGACGAAGCAAGATCCTGAGACTTGCACACCAGGTCGGCTTGTAGCTTGATGTCTTCCTTTGTTTTGGGCGTAGTTGCCAGGTGTCTCTGTAAATACCTCAGCACGTTGATGAAACAACATGTAAGGATTTCCAATCCTCTGAAGATGTCGGAGCCGGGCTCGAAGAAAAGCATCATGTTGCAATCTAAAACGTTGGCCTCAGTACGTGGACCAGCACACAAAAGCGTCTGGAAGCATGACCTTCACACACCTGTGAAAGCATGACTTCCGATGTCAGTGAAAATTGATGAATATCCAGGTCTGCACATGTTCAAACATTATTGTATCATAATGTATCTGTCCTTCTGGAACGTGAAACATCATACACCACCCCTTCACCAACGAACCAAAAAATTAGGGGCATCTCTCACCATGCTTCAAAAACAGAAACGTCGCCAAGAAGTGAGTCGTAACATGTCGTCTGCTGTTCCTTGGAAACGCGTAACCATTCGTTCAACCCTCCGTCCTGCTCTGCTCATTCTCCACCAGCACTTCCCATGAGTTCTCTTCAAACCCGCAGGCTGCGCGGTCAGAGGGGTGTCCGGGGCCGCCGCATAGACATCCACTTCTTCGGCGGACAAGTGTCGCTCGTAGCTGCCTGGCTCCCCGTGCACCTGTGGAGACACACGGACGAAGAGCGCGGTCCAACCTCTCCTTTTGCTCCGCAAACGGAACGCCAAACGGACCTACTGTAGGCATCTGTAGGCATACCGAGACCGTACTAGTACGGGCCTCACTGCTCGGATTCTGGCTCTGGTCATCAAGCGTCTTGCGTTCAAAAGAGCTGATCTCAGAATCGATGTGTACCTCCACGAGTGTGAGACGCGGAACCAGTCGGTCTGTACAGAACACCGGCAAAATGGGCGCACCATCCGCCGCAACAGGAGGACGGGCAAAATTTGACTGAGTGAGGTCCTACAGACAGTCAAACGAAAAAAGACGGCAACCGGTCCTCAAACCGTGGAGCTGAGGAACGGACATGCGACCACAAAGCATTAACATTGCTTGCGCCTTGGTCGAAATTGGCTCCAAAAACATGATGAGTGACACAATTCGGTGCTTTGAGGATGACTCCGTACCTGTGGAAAAGCTGTGTGTCCGGCCCAATTCCGATGTTTTTGAACCTAGTCAGGGTGATTCAATCATCTGAGCTGTGACAAACGCCGGAAACACCTCACTCCCTGGAAATCCCTACGGGATAAACAAACATAAACAAACCCTTCACATCCCTTCACAATGACCTGGTACATGATATGCACTGCAAAAAATGCACCCCATAGAACTTCACTTCACTTCGCACTGGTCTGAGATCCATACAGAGACGCCAAGGCCGCCGCTCTGGCTGGTCCTAATTTGTGGGAACCTGCACCCACGACATCTGCCAACCACGACATCTGAGCAAGTGCACTTGTCTTCCTTGCCACGCACTGGAGCACTGCAGTGTATTAGACGTGCTTAAGCACTAAAAAACCATTCATGGGAATGCATAGGTCCCAGCTTCTTCGCCACAATTTCGGTGAAGGTCATCCTTGCTGCAGAAATGAAGCGGTTTCGGAAGAATCAGTGCTAGCAAGATTCTGCAGATGTTGAGTTGTGTGTGTGAGTGTCAAGTGTCAATTTATATAAATGTCCACCTGACAAGTTCACGAATTGATTAAATGGCCTTGCATCCTCACGAAAGCAAACCTGTTTGACTGCTGGCATCAAAGACGGTGCTTCCTCTCTTTCTATATATATATATAGATAAATGATGATCCATGTGAATTGCACGGACTGACGCTTTGGTGCTTTGCGCCACCGAGCATTCCCTGGTCTTCATATCCCTTCGTGTTTGGCTTCCCAGCTTGGCCGCAGGATTCACCTGGATTTGCAGGATTCGACGAAGAACTCCGGAAAAGAGTGGTCCAAAGCCGCACATTGAACGCCAAAGCACGGCGTTAAAATACCTAAGAACATCCAAGAACATCAAACTATTATGATTGGATCAAAAATGATTAAACCGTTGGATCAAACTTCCAATGTTGGGGAACACCACCCTGGACCCTACACGTATGGAGGGGGGCGTCTGGTCCAGGTACTCCAACACATGGTGGCTTGGCAGCGCTTGGCAGCTGATTAATCATCCAGCACGGGTCCACATGATGGTCACCACCAAAACACCGCAAGCCCAAAGGAAGGTTTGACAAGTCTTCTTCAGGCGCCTGCAGGATGGTGAGGATGGCCTGACAAATCCGTACTTGGCATCGCCCCTGGCGGCGAGTCACGCGGCTCCAAGCGACTCGCCCAATATCTGAAACGAAGCCCAGCGACGGGGTGAACCCAACATCTGTCGCTCACAAGTCAAAGGAAAATGCTGTAGCCACTGCTGTAGCCTGATCTGCAAAAGGTTGAGACAGTTTGCACATGTTTGCACCCACTTTATGACGAAACCAAGGGCAATTTGTGTCCGGTCAAAGTACAGATTAGACTCACAGTATGACCAACAATATGTGCGACGTGTGGGTGACCTATTGTAGTACAGGATATCCATCCTACGATGACACTCTTCACTTTGGTGGACATTCTGCTCATTCTGATTGATGAGTGTTTTACGCGCTTCTGCTCTAAGGAAAAAACGAAAACACCCCTGAGAGCTGGGATGGATGTGCTCTCCAAAAAGTGCTGCTTGTGTTCACTCACATCTGCAATGGAATTCTCAGGACGAGTCGCTGACTCGGAAGGTTCATAGTCCGTTCTTGTGCACTGCACTTTTGAGTCTCCCAAGCTAGAGCAGTGCATTCCCCGTAGCACTTCATGCCCAGCCAAATCCGAGCATGCCGGCATGACTGCATGATTCTTGTGAACAGAATCCAGTTGAAAAACCATCTCTGTTGCAATTCTCAGGCTCCAAAGGTGGAAGGTTGCACTGCCAGGACCATCTCTTCAAAGGCACGGCAGAAACCTCCTTCGTGGCCGACACTCCTTCGTCGACCCACCCGGAACACTCGCTGTGTTCTCCCTGACGAACTCCGTTGATCTCCCACGGCGACCCAGGGGGACCCAGGGGCATCGCTACGAACGGAGCGATCGGACGCTACTAGTATAGCTAAGAGTTTGTTTTCACAAACAAACTAAGAGTTAGCAAGAGATGTATGACTTACAAACTAAGAGTTACATACTCCCTGGCGCGTCTGGCTAAGAGTTTGTTGCCTGGCGCCATTCTGTGGATGTGTGTTTCCAAACGACTGTCCACGGGGGTAGAGGGATGCTGCGTTCCTGCCCGTCTCTAGCAGCTGGACGCCATGTTGTACAGTCGTGATGCTACCGGCCGGATCTTAGTGCTAGCATCCTGGCATCCATCCATCATCCTGCAAAAATCTGGGTGAAAGACCTTCCTGCCTCCAAAAGTGGAAGACCTTCGCACGTTCTTTTGCCGTTCGCTCCATGAAACACTGTCTGGCGCTGGCCTGCAATCCTCGGTGTAAGATATTCCTTCAACGGTGGAATGCTGCATTGTCCACAACAGGTGCTTCCACAAGCCAAACTGACACCTCCTGCCAAAGCCATGGCAAGAACATGCTTTCTTGGACCAATGTTCTGTTGTGGGCGACATGTAACACACGCGAATCTATCTAAATCAGCTTTCTCTTGCCTGACAAATCGGTTGAGCAAAGGTCTATCTGAGACTGGAATAGGTACTTGCTCAAGAGAAATGTATCCACTCTCTTCCCCTTCGTCCATGTCCCGAAGTCATCCCTTAGTCATCCCATGTTCGGTTCTCCCGTTGTGAATGCTTTTCCTTTACTTTTGACCTACGTGTTTGCTGCCTGTCGTTCCTCGATCGCCCTTAGCATGAAGCCTTCATAGAAAAACGTCACTTGGTTTCACAGGATAAAGCATCTCTCAGACTTCTCTTGTAGACATTGATAGAATACCAAGAGCATGAAAAAAGGAAAGGGACATTTCCAAGGGTTTACATTTGGTCCCTAACCAATAAAAGTCAACAAATAATAGCAAAATTAACAATGATGTTACTATATTTACCTTCTCCGACATCAGTTGGAGGAATTGCAATTACTTCTTGCCTTCTTGTTCATTGTAAATATGATGGTCATATCTTTCCACTTCATGTATTACATCACCAACAAAAAGAACAATCATAAAGAACCAATAGTGAGACACGAAGTCCAAGATCTACCTATTCTTGTCTTTGAATACTGTGTAAAAGAGTAAGACAAATATCAAAAACATGTGTATGTTTCCCTTCAAGTGATGACGTCAAATGACAAGGCTTACAACGAACGGCCCAGAGACGGCCCAGGGACCGGCTTTTTCTGGACGGTCTTGGAACCTCGTCACATAGGTCTTGGAACCCAGCCCTTGGTGGCTCCACCCAGCTCGGCGCAACCGTTGAACAGATCTTCTGGCCTCGTAGGTGAGTGCATTGTCCACGCAGCGGATATAGCTAAAGTCCTGGCTCACAACCATGAGTCGACGAGAAGGCATTAGTGGCTTGACCACTTAGTGATTTGAGATTGCTTGAGTATCACTCAGGCTCTACGGAACAACGAAAAGAAGATAAGCTATTGTATTTATATAACAATGCCTTTCTGTCCTGATTAATTAGGACGTAAGAGCAGTGGGTTCATCACACCAAGGGTCTCTCTTATTTTGCCAGGTCTTATGGAAGAGAAGAACAGCAACGCATAATTAGACAGAATTAGCGCTAAATAACTCAAAAGTCAATGTCAATGCACCTAAGCCGACCGATAGACATAATCAATTATATATATATATATATATGTAACAGAAGAATTAAGAATGTTGAAGTGGGCCTCTGCACCTTCTCCAAAGTCAATGCTTTGACCAACAGCCGACCCAATTCGCCCAGTTGCCCCATCGGATGATCCGAGTACGCCACCCATGGGCGGTCAAAAAATCCAATAATCATCACGAACGGATGGTCATGCAGGGCATACGTTCGTTATGTTGTGTTCCGTTTTGTTGAATGGTGTTCATTAAGGTTCATTAGGTCAAGCAAAAGGCAATCAAACTCAAACTCATGTTCACATCAGGCGGCCTGCTTGTGGATCTTTGATCGTTTTGGAGCACGCCATGTCTTGCAAACGCGAAGAGGACTGTCAGTCCTCCTCCTTCCCATCCTTCCGTACCACGAAGAAGCACTTGTGATTGAACGTGGGATGTCGACCTTGAGAGGCCAACCGGCGTGGCCACCCGGCCTTGAGAGGCCTCCAACCTACCTACTTGCGATGGCCTCCAGCCTGCTAGCGATTGCCTCTAGCCTACTATACTACTAGTAGTATTTCAGAGTGACTTCTCTTGTCGTACTTTCCTTTTGAAGCATGTTCCTGCCTTGAATGCCCGGTGACAACCTACTCATAAATGACGTGCGAAGGCATGTATGATCCTGTACCGTACTGGTCTAGAGTACAATTCGAAGCTAAGCTCTCGGCCAGCCCGTATGGCCACACAACCTTCCGCCTGACAGGCAGCTGAGTTTCCGCACTTCACGCTTGCAGTCATTTCTGACGTGTCATGACACGGACGATGATATACATATGAACGGCTTCTCTGTCAAAAAGAAATATGTCTGCTGGCGCGCAGCACTTCGCTTTTTTTTCCATTGATTTTCGCAAGTCACAGGAAGTCTCTGTAAAGAGCGTGCTCCCCACTCCTGCTTTTCCTGAGCCTTTGAACCCACATCCAGCTGGGCCAAAAGCTTGGTGCTGAAGCAAGTCCCAGCCGCTGTGCCATCTCTATGGCTGTGGGCTGCTGATGCTCGGCCATCATCAGCTCTGCATGTCTCAGCAATTGCTGCAGATGTTCAGGTCCTTCCTCATCGACAACTCGATTCAACTCCTGGATGTTCTCAGAAATCAACTGACGAAAGTCTTCGATCCCTTCTTCCCCGTGTGCTTCACTGTGTTTTAAGCCCATCACCATCTCCTTGATGAAACCTCTTTTCAACTTGGGCTTCTTCGCGAACTCTGCTTGAATCTGAGGGTGCAACCGCTTCAAGATATTCTCTGGTGCCAAATCCGCATGAGGATTTCGCTTGAACCAGCCAAAGAGGAAGGATGTCTGCTCATGATTGAAATGTGGAACATCCTCATTGGGATGCAAAAGCAAGTGGCCTAGCTTTGGGCGCATCTCCAACAAGGTTGGCTCAGTGTGAATTGCTGCAAAGGCATGATTCGGCATGCTGTTTATTAATGTTTATTATTGGATGGGACAAAACAAAGAGAACTCTTGCACTTAAAAGCTTGAGCCAACCCAGGTGGACCCAGGTTTCCTGACTGCTCAAGGCTAGCAAAAAAGGCAATGGGCAAAGGCGTGAGAGCAGCGGATGAACATGAATGTCTCATCAATTGCTCTGTGTGCAGTTCTCTTGAAGACTAAAGTCTTTCGAGTCCACTCACATGTTCCGAAGTTCCAACCCTCGACTCTTCAATGACAGCACTCTCTAAGTTCACCTTTGACTGACCCAGGTGAAAACCTGTAAGATTGATGAGAACACATACACGTACACCGTGTCAGAATAATTACACATTGACCGTTTCGGTCAATTCTATATTCTAACATTTGGTTTAGTTCAGCCACCTGAACCGTTCAGCATGCCCGATAGCAAGCTGCACTGTTTTCAAGTGCAGGAACTGGAACCCAAAACAATATCAAAAAACTGTCTGGCACCAAACAGTAGTCCACAGAACTGACCCACCCTGACCCAGTGAGGTCCGATCACCGCTCGTCGTCCGCATCGCCATCCCGTCTCGGCCCCGGCTGGCGACGCCTTGTCCACGCCACGCGGATGATAGGCCAAGAGCTCCATGATCTTCTGAGCGTCCTCTTTCGAAAGCGAAAGAATTGGATCTCTAAGACAGGCCTTTCTGAAAGGCCTCAGATCCGGATGATTGGAATTGGATCTACCGGATGCATGGATTCATGACAGCACCTGGAATGGAGATAGCACCTGGAATGCTGGCAGGTCTTTCTTGCCTTTTCCAATCGCTCCAACCCGTGCCCCGATCGATGCGTCCTCCGGTTGGATCAAATCACCCTCTGCATAGGTTCTCAGCATTGACAGGCACCAGACCTGAAAAGGTTGGCTCTTTGATGATTTGATATTGTTTTTGTATAGGTCTCATCAGATCTGGTGGTTCTGGGTCCGGTTTCTTGATGGGTCCGTATCGGTTGGTCGATTCAGTCGATGTGTGTTCCGATTGAAGTCGGTGCCGGTGGAAGAAAACCAACTTCCTGAATTGGAACAGTACTGCAAACATCTGCACACAACATTCTACAAAACCTACTCCTACAATCTATTGGCATGTTTTCATGCATGCTTTGTGCAGTGTGAAGACTACAGTGACTCATACACTCATAGTCGACGGATAGTTTGGGTGCTTCCCACCCATCGAACACCCAAAGTCAGCAGAAGCTCCCACAAAGCTTTTCTGCTTTGCCTGTGTCTCATACCACCAAAAAAGTGTTCTCTGTGAGCTTCAGTGACTCATACACAGTCACTCATAGTTGCCATAAGATCCTGAGACTCCTCTCCTACTCCACAACCGACGACAGGGGTTGTGGGGCACAACTGGCATAACAGTTAGGAGTGAAGATGAGTGGCTCCCCAAGCTCCGCTCGCTTTCCGCTCACTCAGCTCGCCGCCTTCAGCTCTCGGCGACTGCGGAAGCGCTGTTCGCCCAGCTGGATGGCCTCAGCATCTTGGACCTCGGTGTTGAACGGCAAAGAGACCACAGCATGTTCCAAATGAAGGCAATATGTCCAGCATGCAGCAGGTTTTTTGGGGGGTAATGGACTGTTTCCAACCAGTTTAGACAAATTGCCATTTCGGTTTTGGGTTCAACATGTTCCAATCATCTTTGGATGTGCGGATTGTTTGTATCTGTTTTTGGGTGTCTACTTTGCTTTGGACATGGTCATCGAGACCGACCGGCTTGACAGAGGTGCTTTATGATGGTCTCATGGTCTCTGTCATGGAGCCGGCGTCAAAACCGGGGCACTCTGGTTTTTTTCCCACCTAAAATGAACAGAATGGACTTCCTGGCGGTCCCCCTATTTGGGTTTGGGGCTCTGGGTGCCATGACCCACTGCAACTAGTCTCAAAGGCCAACGCTGGACAGGTGAGCGAGAGCCCTCTATGAAGGGTCAATGAGCTATTCATAGCGAGCAACATTTCAACAGAATGAGCTTGCACTGGATCCCTCTGCTCGCGAGGTAAGAATGCACCAAAAACAGTTTGGTATAGATCCTCGTTCCTGATCGATGCCGCATTTACAATACGGAATGGCCAGTCTATGCAAACAATGGTGAATCCAAGTGCATGCATTCTTATCTGAACGGTCACAGAGCGCTACTAGGGGCTCCTGGCATCTCCTGGCATCGCTACTAGGAGCAAAGACGCTACTAGGGGCTCCTGGCCTTACTACTAACAAGAAGCTACTAGGAGCAAAGGCGATGTCATCTCCCCAAGTGTCTCCCCCAATCTCCGAAGCGTGCTGCCTCGGGTGCTGCCTCTCCTAGACAGTCGATGAGCGCCTGAAAAGACGTCACACTAAACATCACGACGCGCCAAAGTTTAGGGAAGAGCATGGTGTGACAGCCGGATGACTCTGGGAAGAGCATCCACCCCTACACATGGGATAAATGCTGCCAAATGCACCTCCAACACATAGTACAATGCTGCTGTACCTGAGCAAAAGAGCAATTTATATATAGGACCAATGAAATTCTGTTCGCTTGGCCCTGAGGTTTCGGGCTTTGGCACGAATGTTGGATTGCCTGGGACATGGTTCTTGAGTGTCTTCTGTGTCATTGTCCCAAACAAAAAACCAGCTTCTGTGTCAACTTCTGTGCATTCTGCGCCACAGCTGCATCGAAACAGGATTGTGAGTCTAAGAGCCTGTCTTTGGTAATGAGCCCATCAGCACCTGGTGCATCGTCGCTCCAGGCGTTCAGGGATTTAAAGTCCTTCAAGTCCGCTTCAAGAGTATCCTGGCGACGATCTCTGCAGCGAATGCAGTCCGGCAGTCCGCTGGACCAACCTCTGCAGTGGAGGACAACAAACACTTCACAGGTTGATTCACTGAGAGTTTGTACATAGATGTCGGAACAAGACACTACAACACAAGAATCAGAATGCTCTGGAACATTCAAAACCTATTTGATCCTATTTGCCGGACCCAAACACACACCAAAGGCTGCTCCTTCGTCTTGGACTTATCAACACGTAGCAATGCTTCGTTACTCGCTTCGTTGTAGAGCAAATATCTAGCACACTTCTCCAGAGGGGACGGCGTCAATTGCACTCTTCGTCGACCTGAAACCACCTGCCTGGAACTCCTGCAGTTGGCCTCCGACGGGTGAGACTCGTGACGGTCTGTGACGCGCGTGGGGACTGACTGATCCAGTTCTCCACACTTGGTGGTGCTCCCCAAAGCGCAAGTCGTTTGGAATTCAGTTCTGCAAAGCTCACCAAGCGCCCCCCACCATTCTGCCATTAATCGAAACTAGTGGATCTGCTAGGGCTGCCATTGCTTGCATGTTGTAGCCTGTCACCTCCTCTGATTAAGAATCAATCGATCCCAACTCAGACCAACTCGCCGACCCCTCGAGCTCAACTCCCCACACCTGCAGGGCTCATGACGCTCCATGCGTTGACAACGTGAAGCCCAGAAGCTACTAAAGCTGCGTTGCGTCTTCTTGGTGTCCAGTGGCCAGCACTGAACGACGTGAACACCCTAAGGAGAAGTGACGGTGCGGGGGGGTGTCCCGAATACTGGTCTATATATTAATATATTATAACTATGTGTTTTCTTTTAAGGGTTGTTCTGGGGCTCTCTCTCTCTATATATATACACACACAACTACCTCTGTTTCGAAGGTGGTTCACGTGGCAATATATATAATATATATACACATATATAATTACTAAATATAATATAATGAACCTCAAGCTGATGTGTTGCAAAGTGATGCGGCAAAGCACACTACTGAGACTGTCCATGACCGCAAGTGTTCCAGCTTGCTTGGGAAGCTTACTCTTCTGAGCCGGCGGGGCGCGAAGCTGTCAATTGGCATGCCTCTCGTGGCTTGAAGAAGCTGACACTGAAGAAGCGGGCGTCACAAACACTTCACTGCTGCAGGTGATGCCATTTTGAGGTTCACCATGCTGCCGAAGATCCTTGCTGTGGAGTGTCGCTCCACAGTGGTGAAACGCGACTCACTTTCACGGATCGAAATCCAAAATAAAAGGGAAGATCTCGGAAAGCCACTGCATAGATGCTCACTGCGCCACTACGCATGCTGGAGGGCATGTGCCAACTGATTTCTACCAACTGATTGGAGGCGAGAAGCTAATGCCACACAGCATGCTCATGAGATGGCTCATGAGAATCTCGGAGCTATACACTCACATTCTCAGTACGCTTGAAGGCGTCGGCATCAATTCCTGGACGTTGAGGGGCGAGACGTCTGGGAGGATCTGTTGGGATCGGTTGACGCGTGTTCATGTCAATGACCAAATCGGCTCCAATCCAGATAATATAAAGGGACAGAATTGGGATTCGGGCCCTCATGGTTCATCTAAACTGTATCGCTGAGCCCATCTAAGGAATAGTGCTTTGGCATCTCTGTCAGAATTCAGGTGGAGAAGAACATGCAACCACTGTCAAAAAGCGTGTCCCGCTGCAGCCACATTCTCAAGGCACTACATACACCAAACACACAGTGGCCACGCAACGCACTTGCTGGTGTTAGTTTCTACAGTATAGTCTCAGTATTTCTTTCGACAAAACATCTGTCGAGCGCTTTCGACCAAGGCTGCGACTCTTCAGCATGGACTTGAGCTGTTTCAGAGGACCCACCCTGAGCGATGCTGGACGGCTCAGCCGTGCTCAGCCGGCTGACGCGCCAATGATTCAAACATCTTCAATCGATCCATCGCAGTCAAGTTGGAAAGGAACAAGAGATGTCTTAAATTCAAAGGTGCCATTCACAGCCCAAGCCCCCGGCTCATAGAAGTCTTTCACTCCATCCATGATCATAGCCTCGAGCCATCATCGTGTGTCTGTTGCACTGGTGAGTTCAGCGAACCCCTTAACATGCTAAACTGACGTGACAACAGTTTGGAACATGTACCAACAACGCAAGTAACAAACAAGAAGCTACTAGGAACCAGTGCATCGCTAGTAGTAACAAGTGCCTTACTAGTAGTAACAAAAAGCTAGTAGAAACAAGTGCCACGCTAGTAGTAACAGGTGCCCAAATGCCAACCCTTCGATCCTTCAGCTTTCTCTGCCCAAGCTGCTCGAATGGTCGGCTCCCAAAGGACTTCATTGGTCAGCTGCAACCTCAGTGAAGCAGGGACTGCATGTGGGATCAGTGGGGGCTCCTGACAAATCCTCAACGAACGGGAAGGGAAAACCTACAACAAACCATCCTATCCCACAGACCCAAAGTTGGTTGCAACACGAACGGGTGGGCCCCAAAAAACGGGATATTTCAAGCTCAAAAGCCTTACGCAAATTCGCGCTTCTCTCCATCCACTTCGCCGGTCCACGTCCAGTCTCTGCTTGTGCCCCCCGCTTCATCAGCTCCACGAAGGTGGCAGGATCCGAGCCCTCCTTCACCTGCAGCTCCGGTCGTCCAACCTCCCTCCACTTCGCGACTTCGTGACTTCGTCCGTCTGGGATTTGCAGCGATGGTCTCGGAGGATGGTTGTGCTCTTCCTCTTCAGCCGACGGTACTGGGTTCTGACAGGTCCCCACAGCATGGTGTCCCATGATCCTCTCAATCCGCTCAGGCGAACAAGAACGAATGCTATGGTGGGCCTGATGAGAACCAGACTGGACAAAACTATCCGGAAGCAGCACTGGGGCTCAGGCACGTTTGCCATTCACATTGAAGTAGATGCCGCACCTTCAGAAGCTGTTAAGTTAAGGACCCCCCCCAAACATTCACCGGGTCTACATGAATAATATAGGTATCCTAACTAGTAACTACCTTATTTAGATGCTGAAAGCACACTGGGAGGCCTCCTGCTTCAAGGGACAACGATTGGAGCCATCAGGTTGGACCTTCATGGGTAGTGGCTGACTTCAAGTTCAAGTTAGAACGAATTAACTCCCTTTTTCCATTCCCCTTTAGTGCAACATAGAGTGCCAAAAGTTTTATATATCAAAACATTTGTCCAACCTAGGTTGACATGAATACGTCTGAACAATATTTCTGATTAAAACGTGTCCTTTCGCGTGGTTTGCTGTTTGGGGCCTACCTTTGGGAGATTAGTCAATTAGAAAAGGTTTGAAAGAGGGAGAGTTGATACAGCCTCATTAAGGGCACTGCTTAAGAAATAGTTAACTTTGGATCTATTCTATTGTCACGTTCTTTGGGCTGCCTGTTTGGGAAAACCCATTGGGAGATTAAGACAATAGAAAGGTTCGGAGAAGGGAAAGCATCATTAAGGGCACTTTTTGAGAACGGGTTAACTGTGGATATATTTTTGTACACTGTTCTTTGGGCTGTCTGTTTGTGGAAACCTTTGGGAGACTAAGAAAAAGGAAAAGGTTTGGATCAGGGAAAGTTGACGCAGCCGTTCGAGAAAATACCATTGGATTTACATATTGTTCTTTGGAGAAACAGTTTGGAGATTTATATAGAAAGGTTTGGACCAGGGAGAGTTCACACAGCCTCATTGAGGGCACTGTTCGAGAAAACATATGTGATTTTGGATCCAATTCTTTACGGTGTTCTTGGGGATGTTGGTTTAGGGAAAACCCTTGGGAGATTCAGACAATAGAAAGGCTTGGACGAGGGAGGGTTGACACAGCCTCATTGACACTACTTTTCGAGAAAAACATGGTATGTTTGGCTGAAAGGAATCGTTAGTATGCCTTTCATGGATCTGGTGATGCAAGTGATGCAATGACGAAACATCAATGAGATAGAGATAAGTAAAGCTCATTGTAGTGACTCTATTTATTGACCAACCTTCTTGACATTGTACATTTTTCAGGGGGTCCAGCTTATATCTAACAATGCAAATTTGTAATTTCCGGTATACTTATTTCATTCATCCACTGCATGGTACTTGTCATCTCTAGGCAAAAAAAAAACAGTAGTTTCAAGGGTCGAGAATGTTTAGAGTGGCTGGCTGCAATAAAGAGTACAATATGATTAAACATCTTACCATAAACTATGCAATACACATCTGGAGTCCCTGCTCATTCGGTCAGGCATCATCTGGCGTGCTGGCTTGGACATGAAATACCCTCTCTCAAAGCGCCCTCTCTCGAAGCAAACGCTGCGGGCGGTCGTCGCGAAGCGACTTGAACTAAATCACGGAGTTAATTCTTGGCAGAACTGCTGGAAAGACTTAACATAATAAATTATTCAATTGAAATTGCTTTTATTGAACAAGACATACATCTAGAGGAAATTGTTTTATGAACCAAGACATGTGGAAAGAATAGACTTTGGAGACTACTCTGGAGCTAACCCAAATGAAAAGAATTAGATCAATAATTAAATTGTCTTACACTCTGGAAAACTGGAAAACATTCCTTTTCGACCTGCACTGTCTCACCAATTTACACATGGTATCACCATTGACTGAGTCAAAGGGAGGCCAAACAACCTCTTTGGCTCCGTCAGTGTAGGTTCTGTGTGTATTCAACTAGACAGATCGAAATAAACACATCCAAATCATCCAAAATGGCAAATCTGGAACCTTGGAGGACTCATCTTCTGAGAAGCCGCATCTATGGCCCTGGAGAGTTGCTCCTGGCAGATCGACCAAGGTTCAAGAGTTTTAACTCCCAAACTCAGGTCTGGTGTTATGGAGTTCAAGCAGGACAAATACTTATATGGGTGTTGATCAAAATAAAGATATCTGAGGCAGCTACAATTACAATTGCCGATCAACCACGAATCAATCGCGATCCCAACGGTGTCAATCGCGGGAGAGTTGAAGGATGGAGTTTCAAGGGATGGATCAATCCTCGAATGGACAGATCCGCTTCCTTTTCGGCTGAGCCACAAGAAGGCCATTTTTGCCCGAAGGATAGCAAGTTAGAACACCGTAAACATGAAGTAGACACCGACCAGCCGCGACCCAGGATCCTTCCGACCAAGGTTGAGAAAGAGCACCGTCAGGGAATGGTCAAAAATTTGTTGTGGAGTTGCGGGTCATCAGGATTTGGTGAGTGTATTATCGTTTTTTTCACGTCCGTCACATCATCGTTTTTCAAGCAACACGTGCATGTTGAAATCCTATGACCACTCACTGACTATTCGCCACTTTTACTAATATTGATCCTAGCTCATATGACATCATATGACACATTCCCATCCCACGTTTCGTCATCAACATCGCCATCGTTTATGATCCATGATTGAGAACAGAACAATTCAGCTGCTTGACAATGCAAATCATCCAGTTTTAAGAATTCCCTTCTCTCAAGCCTCCATTGGGATCCATTGGCCACATTTCAATGGACTCAAAACAGGATAGCTGATCTACTTCTGGAATGTTCTTGCCCTTTCCAGAGTTTCTATGAAAGGATCGATTCGGCACCGCATAGCACGGCTGTACCCCCGTCCTGTGCAGGTGCCATCAAAGGCGTGTGGAACGCTCCACTCGTCTTGATGAGGCGAGCCTGACCGCGAATCACGGATCGGAGCCGGTGCCAAACCGCTCTGCTCTGCTTTTTGAGGGATCAACCGTTAGAACTGAGGTCATCTCCAACTAGGTAGTCTCATGCTGTACCCTATCTCCAGCTGTGAAGTGAATAATTTTGCATGTCCATGAATCTATACGTTTCCCAATAGATTTTTTGGGAATCAATTAGTTCATCACAGTGGCGCTGCGTGGTTCGTGTTGCCAGGCTGGTTCTGAGATCACTTTCGCGCCTGCAGGGCCTTGGCGGCTGTGGCACGCTTGCAAAGCTCATCGACTGCCACCTTGGTGCCTGCCTTGGAGCAGCGATTGCAGGCTGACAGCCATTCAAACATGGACAGCTGGAAGAACATGGAAGAACTATTTTGAGGGGGAACATACTTCTACAAGCACACACCGAGTATACTACGAATGCGTGTGGATGCATGGCTGAGAACCCCCCTTGGCTCGGCCGCAAGACGAAAAACCATGCTCAGCTGCAAACGCAGGTGAAGCCCGATGGAAAAAGGAAGTTGGCCACCTGAGAGCTGTGCTCTGTGTGTTGACCTCTGAAGACTGGAAGAAACGCGAAGACTCCATGGACTTCCTCAACACGACGCATGGCAACGAGGAAGACCACTGACCACAAAGCTGCATAAGCTGCATGCTTAGACCCTTCTTGTTCTGACCTGTATTCCTAGGGAAGAGGTGCCCCTTTCCATTTTCACTTTCAGCATCACCTGCAAGTTGATTTACTGTATCCATCCATACCAAGCCCCACTAACCCAACCTTCTCGCTCTTCCATGCTCTTCCGGGATCCAAGCCCGGCCGTCCCTTGCCGGCCCAAAGTTCCGGCCTGGCACTGCGCGTCGGGGCTGGGGTCCGCAGCCTTGGCCTCCAAGCAAAGTTGATCCACCTCGCGGAGACGAGGTCCGGATCCGCACACCATGGGACCGACGAGGTCCGAACGGATCGTCTTCGAACCAAACGGCTTCGTGTTGCTCCGGACCGGAGCTTTCTGCACAGTCCGAACAGCACCGAAGAACTGGCGACCGTGTGGATTGTGTTTGTTCTTCCGTTCACTACAGGCGACGAAGCAAAAGCAGTGTTGGAATTCACCTCCAAAACAGGACATTCAATTCGGAAGAATGAACATATTCCTGTGCCAAATTTGGTTGAGGTGGGATGAAGATATAGGTTTGGCATGGTTTAGTAAAGTATGGACAACATATTGTGCGTGCGGGTTCTGACACTCTCCGGATGGGTGTCTTTAGACTTTACTCGGGACATGTTGCTTCATGGCTTGAGATCAAGGTACTGGAACTCGTTGACATTGTTGACAAAGAACCAACCATCTAAGCTGTGTATAGAAGTTGTCAGTTGGGCATTTTGCGATATGTTGCGTTGATGGGACACCGTCACCCGGCAGCAGCGGATGAGCGCGGATGATGACTTCCAGCAAAAGACCGTTGGTATTCAGAACAGTCTTCCTGTTCCGGTGGAAAACCGCGCAAGGTATGATGAATGCAAAGGGTACCCACAAACCTTGTTTGAAGTGTTGGTTGTGCAGTGTCATGGCTGATGAACTTCATCTGTGCGACAAGCCTGCAGCCACCGTTTGGACCATTTTGACATGTTTTGACCACACCAGCCATCTGCCAGCCTTTGCGCGGTCCAAACCAGCGACCTAGGGTCCGCAGTTCGGCTCCGGCCACACGGGTTCGACGCTTCGAATCCACAGCTTTCGCGGGCTAAAAACCATCCGGTCTTCGCATGTTGGAACCGGAGGAGGTTTTGGACATCTCCGGATGCGGTCCAAGGTCCTCACTTCCAGGTATGGAGGTTCTGGTGGATCTACTGAACACTGAATGCGGACCTGGATCCATCGGACTGACCCATCCGCCGAGTTACAGAGCACATGGCTTGCGGAACCCGTGTGGCTGCATCTTGCATCGCCTGCGCAGCACTGGCAGCTGCGGCAGGAAAACAGAAGCACCCAACCGAGCAAACAGGCAGACTGATGACATCTGATGACCTCATGAAGCAAGTCATTGCATCTGTGAAAGATGAAGATGCAAATGACTAATGTTGAATCCAAATTAGTATAATGGGCCGGAATAATAAAAGTGTTCACCAAATTATTCACACACCCTGATTAGTTTAATGGGTCGGAATAATAAAAAGTGTTTTTCACCCAGTGATTTGTTTGGGAGATTTGATGTTTATTGTTTCTATTGTTCTGCTATTGCTCACCCTTTAACATCCTTACTTAACTCTCCTGAGGTTTGCTTGATTCATGGAATTCTGACCTGAAATTCGTTTTCAAAAACGCTTATTAAAACTCAACGATGTCATTGCTCCAAACAATTTTTCAAGGGTGTAGTACACAAGCCCAGGGTAATTGAATAGTATGAATTGTTTAGGGGGTGGGATTAATAAGCAAACTTGGAGCCCTACGGGGAAAAATCTAAGTCTATTATTGTTCTGCTATTGCTGCCCTTTGAAATCCTTACTTAACTCTTCTGAGGTTTGCTTGATTCATGGAATTCTAACCTGGTACTACTACTACTACTACTACCACTACCACTACCACTACCCCACTACCACTACCACTACGACTACTACTACTACTACTGCTACTGCTACTCCTACTCCTACTCCTACTCCTACTCCTACTACTACTACTACTACTACAATATACTTCTTTTGGTGGCGGGGATTCTCTTCAGACCCCTGGATTGTTTGCTAGGGCGGGGGGGGCTCGCTTACTAATTAGGATCGAACATTACACAAATCAGCTTCAGCGAGCTTCCCTGAAGGAAGGTCTATGTCTGCATAGCTGCTGTTGCCGCAAGACACTCGGAATATCAGGTGGTTCTTTTTACTCACGTTTGTCAGGACCGTCACCCGACGCCGACGGTGGCGCCTCGGCTCTCAGCTGTACCAATTTCAGGCCTTCTTCAAAGGGCAGGACCTCAAAGTGCCGAGCGGAACAGGGCACTTTCGCATTCCTGGGGGGTGAAACCGTGTCGAACCGACCGTGATTTGAAATTGTTTCGGATTGAAATGATGGGCGGAGCTGCCATTCATGAATCCGACTAGGTCGACATACATGGAGGATCATGGACGCAAAAGTCAGTGACAGATTGATGCTTTTGCAGTCGAAACTGTGTGGTTTGTGACTTCGACTGCAGCCTTCTGTTGAAGCGACAACATGATCAACATGCTGAGCGCAGCGGCCCCAGCAGCTATGATGGCGGTGTATTCACCCAGGGAGAGTCCAGCCTGAGACGGCTCAAGAGAACACAACGATGCTACTGTAGAAGGTCACAACAAAGCAAAAAGAAACAGGTCGGCTTTGTAGTTCGTGTCTGACTCAGTTGGCAAGACCATTGTGGAATTGACATGAATTGACCAATGAACATCAACATACATCAACGAACAATCTTCGGCTGAATTGTTGCATGCTTTTCTCCGGCTTGCGCCCGAAAAGGCTCTGGCCGTGCAAAAGGGTCGGTCAACCACCTCAGGCTTCGTTTCTCGTAGCACCTGGCCGGGTCAGCCAGTCAGTATGCAAGCCCTTTTCGCCATCATCACCCCACACAGGGTGATCTGATTGAACGTCTTCATTAACAAAACACATACATATTCTTTGCCCAAACCATGCCATGTGTTCGCCACCTCCCTTTCAAACAACAGATCCATGACCGTGTCGTGTTTCGTGATCACCAAATCTCAGCAACATCTTTTTGAATGAAACAGACCCTTCAAGCCGAACGTCCCGGCTTCCGGCCTCCACTGCCGCCAAGCCTGCCAGGAACATGATCGGCTGGCAGTACCTGGATGAAGGCAACGGGCACCGTCGGATCGATGTTCCGGTTCCACAGGACTTCCAAAACTCCATGCCAGCCTCAGTGACCCTGTTCCAGGCCTCCTGTTGCAGGCCCTGTACACAGAACCATGCAGAAAGGTGAGTGAGGAGATCCAGCTTCACTGTTTAATGGGCACTTGGTATCATTGAGCTTCTCCTCGGGCCCTTTGAGGCAAATCTCTCGAACATCCCATCCTCGGCACAAGTGCCCAGTGCCGGTCCACATGGCTCGGGTTTTCACCGAAGGAAGATCCGTTTTGCCCAAAACGGTGGTAGACAGAGGACAACTCCCCCGGTACCCTCCAAGTGCGCCTCCGAGCGACGGATGCTTGGAACCTCAAAGCACCTCCGAGCGCCCGCACCTAGGATGGACTCCGCCTTGTCCAGATATTGCTTGATCTTAGAGAGAACAAGGACTCCTCTGACTCCTTGCTTCTATGAATGTCATCATGCCTTGCTAACAACGGTGTTTCCCAATTGGGTGATACGACCCCAACAGCTGGGCACCTTACAAGGCAGCTTCCCATCAAATGGGTTGCCTCTGAGGGCACCACCGCTGGTCGGTCCATGACATCTTTCAGCATGCCAACCTTGCTTTCGTGGCAGGCAGAACTCGTCGACGAGGGAGTATTGGGACATATCGGGGCTGTCCAACAAAAGGTTGTTGGAGGAAGCACCTCCATGAGCCCATGAGATATATAGACAGCTCTGTTCAAAGGGACTTGCGGCAATGTGATACAGTATATGGTTCCATTTCTAGGTTAAAGATGCCGGTCTTCGTGTGTATCTTATATTTTAGCTGATCTTGAGACCCCAGCGTATTGCGATCCCTGACCAGGGAATAGAAGCGCCACTGGCAGAGGAGGCTCCTCCAGGTCCAAATTGTGTGAGTCTAAAAAACAAGTTCTTCGCATGGCTTCAAAGCCCTCGGACTAAGAGGACTTTTCGGTTGGGATTCACTATGATTCTCTATTTCTTTGCCTTCGAGGGTGCGACATGTCCATTTGACATTTGACACACAAACCAGACATGAACGGGAGAAAGAGCGAGGAACCTCAACACCTTGCAGATCGCAGTCTATTTATTATGATATTTATGAGTTCAGCACTTCAAGACTCACGCAACACATTGTTTTTTCTTTTTCCGAATCACACCTTCTTGACAAGCTTCTCGACTTTGGACCTTGATGCTTGGAGCTTTCACCCAACGACTTAAGAGGATCAAAAGGATGACCGTTGGAGTCCCAGAGTTCCATGATGTTCAGGGGTCACGTTCACACCGGGAAACATCGGCAAGACGACGAAAGCAGCCAGGGGGGAGCTCAAACACTTGAAGGCCAACAATCCAACCACATGTCAAACTTGCCATGTCCACGCACATCCCGCCCCCAGAAGGAGCCCAAAGAAGACTCGACTGAAACATTCAGCATTGGGGGCTTGACTGAATCGATCTCTGGGCTTCCTCGCAGTGGTAAATCCAAGCGTTGCCGAAGCTCTTGCGGCACTGGAAACGGTGGCTCCTGGAGAAGACCCGCCGCAGAACCACCGCCGAAACCGCCGAAACTTCGCTCGGCCGAACACATTGCCGCTCAGTGAGGCACGTAGTCGCCCGTGCCGAAGAGGTACTTCCGCTGCTTCAGGAGGTCCTTGTCTAACCTGGTGAGCTTGGGTTACGGTTCAACATGATTAAACATTGCATCCAGACATGCTCAGGTAACCCCATCCAAATCATACATAGGCACATACCAAAACATACCCATGGTTTAAAGTCCCAAAGTATAATATCCCCACAGCTCTGTGATTCCCTGCCTTTCAGTGACCACTGCATCATTGCCCATGGCTCGACGCTTCACCAAGTTGTACCTGCGAAGTGCTTCCCAAGCTAGCTGGATGAATCCCCGTGACATGAGAGGAATCCTGATCCAAACTTCCTTCTCTACTCAATGATATGGAGCATTTGGCATCCGCTACAAGAGGGTATCCTTCAAGGGTACCGACTCTCCATGAGACAACTACACAATATACTCATACATTACACAAATTGCTCTGACCATAACTATATGCGGAAGGTACATGTTGCCCTTTTTCTCACAAACACCTGAATGAAACTGTTCCTACCTATGAGCAAAATTCTTAACTCGCAGCTTCCACCACTGCTCAGCTGGAGTCCATTGCTTGGCTGCCACACTCCTGAGCTTTCACAGAATTTTTCTCGTTCAGCTCTCCCTTGAGGGCCTGAGCATCCGGGTGGTCGTGGCAGCCAGAGTCAGCGGCAGTCCGAGGCCATAGCCATGAAGATCCATTCTTGTTCTTGACCATGCAATTCTTTCATTTTCCTTAGAAACGACCCAAGTCGCAGTTGGGGGAGAACTGACATAGGGAAAGGCATGAAAGTCGCCCTGCATGCAATTGGGAGGTAACAAATCAAAGAACAACTGCTCCATGCAAATGTTATCACATCTTCGTGACTGACAAGCTCAGGAGAAAACCAAATCTTGTGCTCCGGTGTATCTCCAGCATTATTGGCTGACACGGTGTCAGCACCTGAGAACTGTCACATGGTGTCACACACCGTGGCATAGGAAAAGAAGACAAACGCTTTTGGTTGGTTCAAGGATGTTCAAGGCACCAAATGTCAGGCTCAAGAACCCATATTGACTAATTATGTGCACTCCAGACTCAGATATACTCTTGTCACGTCTGAAAAGAACCTTATCTACATCACATGTTCGGCACAGTGCTTATGATAACTCACAAATGGGGATGTTCTCCAATCTCCGAGTACAGCTCCACCCGGGGCCTAGCTCCACAAGCTTTTGGAGGCACCAGGAGGTGCCGTACATGACCTCGGGAGGTTGGACGGCGAGTCGATCGGACAGCACCCTGTCACCAAACATCCTTTCTTATCACCCCTCCAGTCTCAATATATCGAAAAACCGTTGGATCAATCGATGAAATCTCGGGGTAACAGCTTGAAATCAAGAGATCTACCGTGATCTACCGATGCACATCCTAACTTCAATCTTCTCACCTGGCAACCTGCCTGTGGCTACACATGGCTAAACCAATGGCCCAACCGTACGCAAAATCACTGGTCAGGGACAGGTGAGATTCATGGCCACCTATTTGGCGTCTCTTCCTCTCCTACATTGGCAAACACAATCCAGTCAAGCCAGACTCCTTTCGAGTCTTTAGAGAGACTCTTCCACTGACTCTTCCTTGTTCCCATTCTTCCCTTCTTGTTTTCCGTTGTTCTTCCCCCCCTCCGACCCAAGTCTGACCGCCCCCGGCCGCATAGTGCGCTGGCCGATCCCCCATGGAGCTTGGACGGCTCAGCTCCTCGGCGGTGCACATCTCCAGCATGGGGACCTCGGACGGCGGAACGAGATGCGTCAGCGCGGACGCAGGCAGCTCGAACGGCGGCGTTGGGCGAGGCTGACGTCCGCCTCCAAACACTCCACCATGCCGGACTGGCATGGTTTCTAGGATCTAGGATTCTAGGGATCAATGTGGGCAACTATTCCACAAGATTTTCCATACATGGAGTGATTGGAGGTCATCGAACTCACAGGAAGTACTCGTCATTCACATGGAGCCAAACAACTATAGCGTTACTCTGCAAAGGGAACTCAAACCGTGTGGATCCAAAGCTCCTGGATCGATCTAGCCCGGCTGAGGGACTCACGTCTCCGTATTTGCATGCCACATGCGCGATCGACCAGCCCAATGGGTTGACAAAGCCATCTCCGGCCGTGTACATATAGTCCTGTGGGTCATTGTTCATTTGCGGATTGCGCCACTTGGTTTTCCAAAAGCGAAATGGGGAAATCCCTAGAGATCAAAAGGACATTCTGCCTCTCCCATATAAGGTATCATCCGATGCTGAAATGATCGAAAAGGCATATAAGATTCGCACCACAGTTTGATGTTGTGTATTCGCACCACAGTTTGATACATGGTGCTTGAAGGTTGTGTGTCTCCATGCAGCAAACAAACGAATACCCAGCCTTTGCGGTGACGATGACGCCGTTGAAGGGGTGCGTCAGCGGGTGCTTTGCCTGGATCGTGAGGGGAGAGAGATTGGGTCAGTCTTCCAGTCTTTCACCACATCAATGTCAACCTCAACTCACCAATTGCATCCAATTGTTTTGATTATATACCAAGATCTGGCAATATACTTGACTACTGCAATTGTGCTGTATGACTTTGAGCACACAGTTCGAAAGTCCACAAGTACCGCACCCAAGCTGGAAGCTTGTAGGCCGAAAAGCGCTTGTGTCCCGGCCTGACCAACAATGTACAGCTGAGGTTTACAGCAAAAGTACAAATCGTCGGGACATCTCAACCTCCTACCAACACCGACAGCTGCTGAATCAAACAAACACTTGATTGTGTTGATCAGTTGAACCGTATTGAAACAGCATCCCGGTTGAAATAGGGCCGATGTTCTAACAGCCTCTTGACGACTCTTTAACTCAGCAAGGTTTGAGGAAAGCCATCCTCTATAGCTACCAGCTCAGCAAGGCGGACGGAAAAACCGGCCTGTTTTCGGCCATGCCTTCTTCGGCCACATTGATGTCTGCTGACCTCAAGAACTACCGTTTGGGACCATCCTGTTGGCCTCTTGGATGGGCTTTTTCAGTCGCTTTAGAGTCGCGATTCTCGACGGATGCGTGGCCAACAAGGGTGTCATGCAAAAGGTGGGGGATGCCCACAGATTGCAGCTCAATGGCGCAGGACCGGCGTAGGACATGTTCGTTCTGTTCTCATTGTTCTTGTTTTCCATCTTGAGATGTACACACGTCTGGGAGCCTCAAGTCTGGTGGCAAGGTAGAAAAAGAACCTACTGTAGCTTGATTGCTGCGGTCTTTTTCGAAGCATGCCGGATCCCCTGTAGGACCGTAGGACCCCACACTACCGCCCATTCCAAAGAGGTGAATGGAGAGGCCAAAAGGCTAAAGGTGCACTTCCAAGCCCAAGGTTAAATCGTGGTGCTGCCATACCAATTCCTGCAAAGAATGGGAACATCCCTGAACAGGTCAAACCTCCAAACAGTTGCTCGGTAAAAACAAGGATAGTTTTCTCTGTTGCTTTTCTTCAAGAACTTTTTTTAAAATCTGTTTTTAAACATCATTTGAATCTGCATTGCGACATTGAAACCCTCAAGATTCATGGACGGTTTCTGGGGCACCGGGGCCAGGTTTCGCCATCTTCTAAGTACGGCATCTTCCGAGTGTGCCTCAGTTGACGGTGACCAGCAATAAGGGAGCCTTGGGTGTTTGGTTTGTTGATCTTTTCATAACACACTCGATTCAGCCAAAGCCAAACTCACGACTCAATCTCAACAGAACCAGGATGATGGTCGGCAGAATTTGACGTGACGCCGATTGATCAAAGGCGCAACGCCGAAGATCGGCAATTGGCACACCCGCTCTGAACCAAAGCTGCGGACATGACGAAAGCATGCACGGCCGAGATTCAACATACACCTGATGCACAAGCAGCAAGTAACATCAGCAAGCAAGCTTCGTCACTGAGTGCCATCTGAAGGCATCCCTGCCCCGGCAAAACTTTACACTTTTCCACAGAAAGCTGGGCTGAAGACCCTGACCGCTGATCAACGGTGAGCCTGCGTCAGTTTCCCAGTCAAAGCTATTAGATCGAGCGCAATGCCCTCAGAGCTGTGATGCTGTTGACCTGGCCGAAAATGACTACCATGTCGTGTTCATCACGTGGTTGCCAACGAGCCTGGGCAAGAATGAGGTGAACTTACCTCCGCAGATTCTCGCCAGTAACAGGAAGAGAGAAGAACCGCACAACCCCAAGTACAAAAGAACATGAAACACCACGTCACGTCTCAGGTCTCCCAAGGTCAGGACAAAGCGACAAAAAGACAACAACTGAAGCGGTGGCCAGGCAAGTTTCTTCGTGGCCCTTGAGGCTTGATGTAGTTTTTGCTCCGAAGCCGTGTAACTTATGGTGAATAGCTTCCTCTTCACAACTTGCTCACGCCACAGGATTGAAGTTGTGCGGACAGCCCGTAAGAGGATTCATAATGACTATTATAATATATATATAACTGAAAAATAACAATAATAATAGGACTATCTACTGCTGGCGTCAGCTCGCTATTTCCGGGTTGTTGCTGATTTCTAACTGATTAGGACTCCTCCCCAACCCTGTCGACCGCTCCGGCCTCGGCCGATGGGATGCAGCTCTGTCCGGTCAAAGCCCACCTCATTCCGGCGAGCCGTGTGGCCACAGGAGTTCAACTGGGACATGACCATCTGCACACGTGGACAATACGTACATACAGTGCCCGACATCTAGTCCAAGAATGTCCAAGAGTGTTTTCATTAGTCTTTAGGTGACCCGACATCAACTTCCTATACTCCAGTGACCGCGGTGCCGAACAGAGTCAAACTGGACTTCGGTGCGGGTCGAAGGGGCAACCGAGGCTGACCCGGTTTTCCAATGTTTGCTTGGATAGGATGGGCACTCCATGTCGTTCTTTTGTTGCCGCAGTCGTTGTTGGTGCTCAAGTGTAAAAATAGACACACGATATCTGAGACAATAGAAAGCACGCACACACACACACACACACACACACATTTGCAAAGTCATGGCTTCAACATGCTCGACCCAATAGAAGATATATTTAATCCCAGCATTGAAGGTCCAGGATTTGCAGACAAAGCTTCGCATAAGGCCTATCCGTGCTTTAGGTCCTGAGTCACTCGGCAAAGGCCGCCCAGTGCCTTGAGATCTTACCTGCCGCATGGAGATCTGACCGGTCTGACTATTCCGTCGACACGAACTTCGGGCGGACGTGAAAGATGGTCGGAAGTCGTGGAATACCAAATTCTTTGTTGGAGCCAACATGACACAGTGTGTCACATGTTCTCCAGAAAGGAAACATGACAAACCACGACAAACTTTGTGGAGAATGACGTGTTCAAGATATCAAGCGGCTGTCACAACACAAAGTTCCAAGGAACAAGATATGTGGCTTCACTCTTGGCGCAAGCTTCACAAGCCTTCACTGCCGTCCTCTGCTTCGGCGGAGAAGGTTGATATTGAAGCTGTTTCGGCTTTTGGCCTGAATCAACACACGTGTGAATAATGTATACATATGTCCCCAAGGCACTTCGCAAAGTCTCAGAACGGAGCGAAATATTTGAAGATGCCTAAGGGTAAAAGAAACCATTGCCAGAAAAGCTCAATGTACTACACTAAGACTCTGACCATGGCGATGAGTGTTGCATTTGATGCATTGGAAGAGTTTGCGGTAGAACTTGTCACCGTTGAGCTGGCCGTTGTGGAGTTGCCTTTCATGATACAAAGCGATAAGCAAAGACTCCCTAGAAATCAAATCTTAGTATATTAATGGCACCTCTAGGGCTGCTGTTTTGAGGAGCTTCTGCACCAGTTGGTCTTGGCAATTCTGAACAGTATTGGCACATTTGGATGCAACGAGTGGGGCCAACGAAGATGCAAAGCTTTCACAGAAAGAAGAGGCTGTTGTATCTCAGTCAGGGGTTCTGACGCCGATGCATTGGAAGTGTTGGGGCTAGCAACAGCCTTGTCCTTGGTTTTGGAAGTTCTCAAAAGATGCTGAATCAAATCAGCCCACAAAGCATCAGGCAGGAACTGCGCTGCTTGCTGCAGAGCTAGCATTGCTGCTCTTGCTTGAAGTGTTTGTGCCTCCGGTCGAATGAAGCCGACATTAGAACAGTCCCTAACTATATACTGCAATGGTCTCTATGCAGTTCAGTCTGATCTTTCTGTGCACTTGCTGTTCTCTTCTTGTGTGGTCTGCGTAAGTAAAAGTATGGCAATCAGGTTTGGGTGGTCTACATGCAGCGAACGTCAGCTCATTTCCTGCATCTTTGCTCGCAACACTGCGAACATGACAATGAGAGCCTCGCCTTGTTCTTGCTTGACAGGCGACGCAGCAAGCTCTGCTGGTCGCCTTTGGAAAAAGTATTGGTGTTGGCATGCCTGTTGCCGTTCAGTACCATGCAGTCTGCCAATTGATAAGATTGGGGCGAAGTGTTCGAAGGGACCTGGGAGAAGATCAAATGTACAACTGGATGCAACTGGTGTAATCAAAAACCACTGGCTGCAAACTGCACTGGGCCTTGGACCGCTGTAGTTGCATTTGATGCATTGGAAGTGTTGGTGCTGGTGCTTGCTGCTGTTGAGTTCACTGTGGACACTGTGGAGTTTCCTGTCATGAAACGGAGTTGCTTCCCAT